CTATGCTTTGAAATATCAGTCCTGAGACCATTGTTATCTTTCTGAGGACTTTGGAAAAATGCCTTTGAAGAGAGTATGGAGGATTTCTGATCCATAGTATTGCCAAACCTTTTCAACACTCACAGAGGGTAATAGTATTTAGTACTATTGTGTGCTGGTTGATGGTGTGCACAGAGTTGTAGTGATCACTGAGTGTTCACAGCTGATTTGTGTTTAAGTGCACTATAAGAAAGGGTTTTTTGATTTGAATAATTCATTTATTATATAATTTTTGCATGATATTGAGAGTTGCACTGGGTGATTACTTTATTTTACTATGGTAATGCACTAGATTTTGTATCTTTTATTTTGAGGTTCTCACTGGATGGAATAGGAGTCAATCCTTTTATTTGATGAAAAAATTTTGAAAATTTGGGATTTTTTTGGACATTGTTTGGACTTTTTTTTTGGACATTTTTTTGGTTTTTGGACTTTTGTGATTTTTTGAACACTTTGTGTTTTAATTTAGGTTATTTTATTGTAATATTTCACAAAAAAGGTATATATATATATATATATATATATATATATATATATAGTAAAAGGAACACTGCAATTTTTATGGTTTTGTTTCCAACAACTATAATAATTTGTTGGTTTCTTATATATAAAATAATGTTGACACGCAGAGCAGGTAGGGAAGAAATGTGCCACTCTGGGTGTCAAGTACATTAGGTATGCTACATTCTCTTACTTACTAACCCTCTATATTTGTCCTGTTTACCACCATTCTAGAAAGTGAAAGTAAAGAAAATAATAAAATAAAAAAAATCCAAAAAGCTTTGTGTTGTGCCCAGAAAAGTAATAGAAGGGAAATCTTCCAATGGGGCACTAGGTCTGGTCACCTGGGTAGCCCCTAGGGATTCTCTTACGAATTGCAACTCACCCACAGTATATGTACTGCAAGTGGGCGACACAGCCAGGCTAGGCAATGTACCTGTATGTTGCCGCCTGGCTTCTGTGTTTCAGCTGCACATGTGCACACCCTGCGATTGGTCACAGAACGGTTTTGTCAACAGGCTTCAGCCAATGATTTTGTCTGAAACCTGATCGGCTGTGTCCAATCACTCAATAAAATTGTAGTCCCTGTGCAGACTTTACGATTAATCTACAAGTACTGTCTATAAACAGTGCTCATTCTTTTTGAGCGAAAGCTCCAATAAGCGTAAACGGCACAAGCACTGCAAACTTGTTTGCTATGTAGTGACCACATGTCAAAAGACGTACAGTCTGATTGCCAGCGTCTCCACAAATTTATGTTTCAATATTTTTATTAAGTTTTTCAGAGATAAACAGGAAGAAGAAAAAATAAAAAGAAAGAAACAGGGACAAGAGATATGGTTCATTCATGCATACAATATTGCAATAGACAAATTATAGTTGATTACTTTTGCTGTAGTTCCGCCCGTTGGACGGATGAGTTGTTGGTCTTGTTTAGCAATCATCAGAGGTATTCTTGTGCAATTGATGAACCTTGGTGAGGAGTTTGGGGTGTTAAGGGGTTTTTGGTGGAGAGGTAGGGGAGGATAGGATTGAAGGGAGGAGGAATGTAACTGGGTATTTGAGGAGATACCAGTCTTGGTATGGGGTGTGATTTCATCTCATGAAATGTCATCAGTCTCCACAAATTTAAATCACCAATGACATACTGTTCCCCCCCCCCCCCATTTAATATGAGCTTACCCATTTTCTTCTTATGCATAAGGTTCATACAGTAGGTAAAAAAAAAAAAAAAGTATTGCATAGGTTACCATTTTTCTAGGTAAAATACACTTCTAAAAAAGTGCTGACATGAAATTTTCAGCACGTCAGTAACAAACCCATCCATACAAAGAAACCAAAACAAATAGGTTCAGAAATGAAGTTGTGTAATAAAATGGAATGACACAGGGAAAATAAAGTATTGAACACTTGAAGAAAGGAAGGCGCAAAAAAGCATGGAAAGCCAAACCACCAGCTAAGATCTGTCAGTAATTAGAAAGCAATCCTGCCCTTTGTCAGTGCAAAATATCAGCTTGTTCAGTCTCAACTGATGGCCTATAAAAAGGTGTCTCATTACCAAGGTGTCACACAAGAAACATCTCATGATGGGTAAAAGCAAAGAGCCCTCTCAAGACCTTCGGAACCTTATTGTTGCAAAACAATGTTGTTACAGAAAGATTTCTGAACTTCTGAAATGTTCCAGTGAGCAATGTTGGGGCCATAATTCGGAGGTGGAAAGAACATTATACCATAAACCAGCCATAGCCAGGTGCTCCTCGCAAGATTTCTGACTTGAAGAGAATGATCATAAGAGTTGTCCAAGAGCCAAGGACCACTTGTAGAGAGCTTCAGAAAAACCTGGAATTAGCAGGTACAATTGTTGGAAGAAAAAAAAAAAACAAAAACTACACAAAAATACAATAAAAGTAGTGCACTCAACCACTATAGCCTGTATGCATGCTTACCACCCAAGTCTCCACTGCTGAAGAAAAGCATGTTGAAGCTCTTAAGTTTGCTGCACAACATTTAGACAAGCCTGTGAATTGGGAGAATCTAGTCTGGTCAAAGGAGACCAAAATTTAACTATTTGGATGTCATAATACACACCATGTTTGGAGGTCAAATGGCACTGCACATCACCCCAAAAACACCGTGACGTTTGGAGGTGGGAACATCATGGTGCGGGGCTGTTTTTCAGCATACAATACGGGCAAATTTCAGATCATTGAAGGAAGGATGAATGGAAAAATGTACCAAACATTCTTGATAAAAATCTGCTGCCATCTACCAGGATGATGCAGATGAAACAAAAGCCAAGGAAACTCTCAATTGGTTTCAAAGAATGAAAATACAGTAAAGCTGCTAGAATGGCCCAGCCCCAGCCAATCACCTGCCTTTAATCTAATAGAAAATCTATGGAAAGAACTAAAAGATCAGAGTTTATAGAAGAGGTCCACAGAACCTCCAAGATTTGAAGACCGTTTTTTGTTGAAGAATGGGCCAAAATCACACCTGAGCAATGCTTGCAATTAATTTCTCCATACAGGAGACATCTTGAAGCTGTCATTACTAATAAAGGATTTTGTACAAAGTGTTAAACAAAATTTCAGTAAGAATGTTCAATACTTTTTCCCTGTCATTCCATTTTATTACACATAACTTCTGAACAGATTCGTTTTGGTTTCTTTGTATTTATGGGTAGCCTGGGTTGTTACCGCCACGTGGTGAAAATTTCTTATCAATCGCACCTTTAGAAATGTATTTACCTAGAACGGGTGTCGGCAACCCGCGGCTCTTTTTCACCTTTGCTGCGGCTCCGGAGCACACTGCCCACCAGGTGACAGGCAATAGGGTTGCCGTAGCTCAGTGGTCGGCAAGCCGCGGCTCTTTACACATTTTAATGCGGCTCTTCTGTGTGCCGGGCGCCCGCTCCCCTCCCTCCTCTCGGGCGGCCGCCCCAAAATTCAGGATTCTGCAGCTAGTCCAGCAATGGGCAAACTACGGCCCGGCGGACCTTTTAATCCGGCCCACGGAGCGTGGCAAACATTGGCTGTCAGGATGTAGGCGGGGCAGCGTGACGAACTCCTCTCCTCTCACAGTCTGCCCTGAAGACCGGAACGGCGCGGGAACACGGCGAGAGGAACGCGCAGAGCAAAGGTAAGTGAATTGACACAATATGGGGGATGAATTACTATATGGGGAATGAATTGCTATAGGGGGGATGAATTGCTATAGGGGGGATGGAATTGCTATAGGGGGGATGAATTTTCAGTTTTAAAAATGTGGCTCTCAAAATAAATTTCAATCGTGGTTTTGGCGAGATTTGGCTCAGTTGAAAAAAAAAGGTTGCCCACCACTGACCTAAGGCTATGATTGTGATTATGACGATACACTGTGGCCCTGATTAACCCTTTGCTTACTGGGCCCTTAAACCCCCTTCATGACCAGAGCGCTTTTTGCAATATATGCAGTGTCGGATTTGTTTTAAATGTTGCAATGGTTTTGCGGCTCCCAGTCTTTTTTTCCCTCTCGGAAACGGGTCCAAGTGGCTCTTTATGTCTTAAAGGTTGCAGACCCCTGACCTAGAACAATTGTTACGTGTTCAATACTTATATAAAAAGAAATCTACAGCAGGTAAAATAACTGATATATTATGCATTGGCAAAACCACCATGGAAAGCTTCTGTAAGTTGTAAAAAACAGCTTGTAACTATAGAGGACATCTTACACTCTGATAACAGAATGCAGATATATCAAGTGTACCTACTCACAGACAAGGCACATTTTAAACAAAAGTTTATTTTAAGCTAAAGTATACAAATAAAACAAGAAACACTAACACTATACATTTAACGATAAAGGGTCATCCTGAGATTTCAAAACATTAATTGAATTAAAGTGCACTGTTTAAATTGTCCCTTCAAAATTTCCCAATGAAAAATGTCAGCAATGAAATGGCACAGGACGTATCAAGACACAACAATAAAAAGGGAAGACCAGGAAGTTTAACAGAATAAAGCAAAATATTCCCAATAGAACTGCAGGAGCTTTCCTGAGACAGTACATCTTAACAGGCCCAGGCAGTGAAAGGGTAGAACTTGTGTCAGATCAGTCCATGAAATAACCATGTAGTGAAATTTGTAGTGTACCTGGCTCTATCGGACATTAGTAATATGGCTTAAATTAAACAAAATAATTAAACTTCTTTATATAGCTACAAACGTAAAAATCCTAGTCATTAAATAATCCAGTTAGCAAATTTATAATAAAACGCATATACATACTTATATATGTATGTATGTATGTATGCATACAAGTGTGAAAGAGTTGCACTGTTTAAGATAATCATTTTTCTAGAAGCCATCGACAACTTAAAAAGAAATAGGTTTCCTTCAAAATATAAAACGCATTGAAATGCATTGTGACAAATATTCCAGATCCAGGTTCCTTACTGCAATGAATATGCAGCAGTCCTTCTTTCAAAGGTCTATCTTCTCTTCATAAGGGCAGATGCAAGCAGCTCTTTGGCTTTCCATGAAGGGTTTGCATCCCAAATGTATGACTGCATCAAACAGGAGTTCCACTGCAGATTCACAAGCTAGGAGAAGAAAATACAATTGAATTTCAAAAGATAGAAAATTTTATTAGGTTACAAAATCATGTAGCAGAAATAAACCTGGCAACTCAGGCTGGACTCTAAGAACAATGCAAATAGAAAGCAGTTTGGTATACAGTCATTACTTGTCTGCAAATAAACATGCTTACTTGTAGTTAATTGAGACATCCCTTAAGATTTATTCTGCTAGCATACACACACACACAAAAAAAAAAAAAAAAACGAAAACAAAAAAAAGCAAAAAAAACAAGGTTTGTGAAAGGGGATAGCTAAATTATCTCTTTCTGGCACTTTCATTGGCTGAACAAAAAAGTACAGGTACAGGGGTTAGACAAAAATATAAAAACACTACACAAATTTGCAGTTGTGAAAGTGACGACACTGCAAAACTGACTGCAGAGCTCAATCTCAGTCTTCACGGGACTGAGAATATGCTCTGCAGTCACTTTTGCAGGTGTTTTATTTCAGGTCACAAACCTACGCATTATCATTTTGTCTTTCGGTCAGCTGACCATGTCAACCACACTTATGCTTATCAGATTACGTTTTCTCGGAAACGGTTTATGCCATCATAACCTTTTAAACTGTACCTCATGACACAATAAAATTGGCAACTTCAGTCACAGAGGCACCAGCTTAGCAGGCACCAACAGTTTGCCCCTCTTTGAAGCTCAGTAAGCTCTGACATGACTCTGTATTACTAGCAGTATAGAAGACTTTTTTTTTTTTGTACGAGTTAGGAATCGTACTGCTTCTTGTCATCCCTACAGCAGCTAATCTCAACCAGAGTAATTTCTGCCTCTGATAAGTAACTGTCAACACAAATGATCATTTTAGCTATCTGGAAAGAGGGGATTATTCCCAATGAGCACAAGTGTATGGAGCATTCTTCCCAGTGACCATCACACTCATGTGATGGACTCTTCAGTCCATCCTGAACACGGCTGCCAGACTCATTCACCTTTCCAACCGCTCCGTTTCCGCCACCCCCCTCTGCCAATCCCTCCACTGGCTTCCGATTGCGCAACGGATCAAATTCAAAATCCTAACGCTGACGTACAAAGCTGTCCACCATACTGCCCCGAACTACATCACTGACCTAATATCCAAGTACCGCCCAGCACGCACACGCCGCTCCTCACAGGACCTCCTCTCTAGTTCCCTGGTCTCCTCCTCCCATGCCCGCCTCCAGGACTTCTCCAGGGTGTCACCCATCCTCTGGAACTCCCTGCCCCAACCCATCAGATTATCACCTACTCTCCTCTCCTTTAGGCGCACCCTGAAAACCCATCTCTTCAGGGAAGCCTACCCCACCCCCTGCTAACTTGCCTCCCTCCTCCACTCTTCCTACCACTCCATCCCCCACAGCTATCTCCTCCTGTGCCACCACCCCCTCCCTCCTAGATTGCAAGCTCGAAAGAGCAGGGCCCTCGATCCCCTCATGTTTTGCATTGTATTGGTATTGTTCTGTCACATGTTCTGTCTCCCTTTGTAATGTACAGCGCTGAGCGAAACTATTGGCGCTTTATAAATACTGTATAATAATAATAATAAATCATGAGCTTTATATAACAGAAAATGTAATTCAAATATTTACTGTAATTTTCCTTTCCTGAAAAGCTCCATGGCAGCACAGCTGGGTGAGGCCCTGCCTGATCAGGACGTAACTCAATAAATGTTTTGACCCACCTCAGCCTAGGCGTTCTGCAACTTGCACTACTAAACTGAGTGGGACTTGTGCTGCAATGAAACTCGTCAGGAAAGGAAAATTACAGTGAGTATTTGAATTCAATTTTTCATTTTCCTGACGGCTCCATGTCAGCACAGCTGGGATTTAACTAGCCACACACGGGAGGGTAATGCACAAACAATTTAATTTCGCCTGGAAGCAGATGCCAAGACACCCCTGCCAAAATCAGCAGTAATCAAAGTCACAGGTTCTATACAATAATGCGTTATGAAGGTATGGACAGAACACCATGTAGCCGCTTTGCAGATTGTTTCCGGGGAAACACAGCCCACTGCTGCCCATGAGGTTGAAACCCCTCTAGTGGAATGCACTGCGACTCCCTCAGGCACAGGCAAGCCTCTCGCTCTGTAAGCTAAGAAGAGATGGTCTTGACCAGCCAAGTAGCAATTAGTCTACTAGAAGCCCTCAAGCCTTTCCGTGCACCGTAAGGGACGTGAAAAGATGCGGACTTCCTGAGCTCGGAAGTAGCGTCCACATAATCTCTCAATGACGTCCAACATCCAATGGACTTGGGTCCTGGGAATTTTTCAAAAGTAGCATCGGGAGTGTAAAGTCTTGCATTACGTGAAACCTGGAGGCAACTTTGGGTATGAATCCTAGCATCGGTCTAAGCATGACCCTATCTGGAAAGAACGACAGAAAGAGTTATTTAAACCCTAAGGTGGCCAATTCTGAGACTCTTTCTGACTGATGTTATCGCCACGAGAAGCGCTGTTTTCAGAGTAAGATGCCATAATGAAACAGAATGACTGAAGGTGTCTGATGAGAGGAAGTCCAACACCAGTGGAAAGTCCCATTTGGAGAAAATCAGAGGCTTGGGTGGTCTTTGGCGGATAGCTGCCTTAAAAAGAACTGAACTACTAAAGAGTCCAGTGCCCATAGGGTACCTGTAAAAAAGCCGAGAGAGCAGAAACGTGAGCCTTCAGTGTACTCAGACAGACCCATATCCAGCCCTGGAGGAATTCCAGTAAGTGGCAGATTCTTTGGGTATCTGGCACAAAGCCATGCCCGTTTGCAAATTCCACAAACTTGCCCCATATCCTGCTATAGGCTGTGTTGGTGCTGTCCTTTCTGGTTCTCACCAAGGTATCTATGACCTTAGTGGAGAAGCCTAGATTGAACAGCCTTTGCCTTTCAAGACCCAGGCTGTCAGCCTGAGTTTCTCTGGAGCGGGGTGCCAAATGGGTCCCTGCATGAGCAAATCCGCTGTTACTGGCAGAGAGTATGGTTCTCTGCTGTTCAATCAATGGAGTAGCGGGGTACCAGGGTCTCTTTGGCCAATCTAGTATTACTGATAGAACCACCACCTTCTCCTGGTGTATTCTGCACAGCAAGCTGAGAATCACTGGAATTGGAATTGGAGGGAAGGTGTACACAGTCCTGAAGTTCCATGCCACAGTCAACGCATCCACCCCCAGAGCTTGTGGGTGGCTGAACCTGGAAAAAAAACTAGGTAGGGCTTTGAAAACGTGCAAGTGCATGAAATGCTTTAGGGAGGAGCCTAAGCCAATGACACTAGACTTGCTTGAGCCATGAGGGAGGCTGGCGGCCATCTTGGATTTGTGTTTTCATTTCTGTACACCATTAGCTGCATTCCTATGGTCAAGATGTGAGTTCACATTGTTCAAATTTATGGTTTTTCTGCCGATTCAATAAAACTTATTGCACTATATAGCACTTTCTTCTCTGGCTCATTTATTTTGAGCGACTAAGGTGGATCTCTTTTAAGTGCTTACCATTGGGTGCGTAAGAGTGAAGTGGAATCTTCCACGTGATCCGGAGAGTGTCAGTGGAGGAGAGGCTGTGTGCAGACCTGTTGCTAGATGTGTTCCGTATATTCCAGTATGAGGACGACCAGGAGTGGTCTTGATTACTCAAAAGCACTATAATTTGCGGTCTGGTTAGTGCAACTTACTCTTTCCCACATGCACCTGACGCACGGATCTGCACCTCTTTGAAGATTTTTATGTCACCGATACACCATTTTGCGCCTTTAGATGCAAATTTGCACCCTTATGTGACACTTCTTAGAATTCTAAGATAATTATTTTCCATGTGGTTGCATACTGGACTGAGCACCAGCTCATTTCGCATGCGTTCATAAATATAAAAAAAAAAAAAAAAATGTACTTATATATCTATGTGATGAATTTTATAGACCATTTTATCTGAGCACTGCATTGTTGGATATTAATGTAAATTAATGAGATAGATAGATATACATATACACACACAAATTTTTTTTTTAATACACTAGTAAATGCAGGCGACCAGCGACTTATAGCGGGACTGCGGTGGGCATTCTGACACGGGAAGGGGAAGAAATGACTGTCATTGACATCCCCAGTGACAAGAATACAGTGATCAGTGCTAATAAAAAGCACTGACACTGTGGTAATGGCACTGGGCAGGAAGGGGTTAACAAATGGGGTAATCAAAAGGTTAACCTTGTGTTTTACTGAGTGCTTGTTTCACTGTAAGCACATTGCTTTGCATAGCAATACAAAGCAATGTGCAGGAGCTGAGAGGGGAGAGATCTGAATGTAAACAATACAGGTCTCTTCCCAGTCAGTGATCGCTGGGTGCTGGCGGGGCATCACCAGCTGGGACTCTGTGATTGACAGCCGGGGCCGCCTATGGCGGCACGGGTAGGGCACGTGCACTCCCTACCCGGAAATATAAAAATCATATATATATATATATATATATATATATATATATATATATATATATATATATATATATATATACACACACACATACATACATATACATACATACATACATACATACACACACACACACGCACGTGTGTGTGTAATTTTGAGCAGCCCTGCCACCCTGTAGCAGTATTCTTGCTATAGGGTGGCAAGAAAGCGGTTAATCAAAGGGGTATTGCCTAGTACACAGAGAAAGTTCTGACAGCTGGAGCGGTCAAACTAAAGTAGTCTGGCATGTTCATCAACAACACTGCTCAAAAGAAACATGGTTTCATTTTGTATCTGTGTATTCATCTACTGTACAGGTCAAAAAAAAAAAAAAAAAAAAAAAAAAAAAAAAAAAAAAAAAAAAAAAAAAAAAGGGATTAAGTCAGTTAATGCAACCGGACAAGTTAAAAAAAAAAAAAAAAAGTTTGTTTTTTTAAATTGTTCCCATTTAACCCCTTATTAACCCATAGTTTACACTAATCAGCCCTAGTTATTCTCCTTTTCCATTTTCTTGCTTTGTTCAT